TTTAAATAAACGACTTGCATATATCACTGCTCGTCTAGTGGCTGAATACGTTTTTATGACGTGGAATATAAGTTATGAGAATACTCTAGAGGAACAGTTAAGATATTGCGAAGGAAAGTATACAGAATGAAGGTACGAATGCAACAAAATTGTGATGAACGCATCAAAAACATTCCTGTTAGATATCAAGACTTAACAGTTCAAGAATAGATAGGTTCTTATGTGTACACACAAGCTGTAGTAATGGTAACTCAGCCAGTGCATTAGTGTGCATACGTTATGCATTTATTTAAAACTGTATATATATGGATTATTATAGTGCAATAGTTATATTTATTATCAGCTAAAGCGAAAATATCATGCATTATTATATTATCTGTTTTGTATTTAGCTTTTTAAGTAGGTAGGATGTTCTCAGACTACACTGTCTATGATTCCAGGGTAATGACTGGCTGTCATACTGCTGAGTTGCTTGAGCCAGTTCTAGTGTAGGTTGAGTAATAAGTCAAGCCCCTCACTACATCATCTCACCTCCTGCAACTGCGATAGGCTCTCTCTTGTCCTGCAGCCAAAACAGAAGCAACAAGTGATGCAACACCTTCACGACTCTCCCTTTATCTTATGAAGATTTCTTTCTGGAAGAGTATGTTCTCGTTGGTGATCCAAGGCATACAGCGTGTCCTCTGTGGAACTATGATCCAAGATATATATTTAGAATTAGCGTTTTTTTGACATTCTGTCTCTCTGTCATGAGACACTTTCATACGATTTCAGAGTTTACTCCAGATCTTACTTGTCCAGATTGGTGTCTGTACATTTCTCAGGCTGAGAGATTGATTACCTCACATTCCTTCTCATCCTCCACTGTTATTCTCTGTATTGGACTGAAGAAGCCACTGGCTGGCAAAACGTTTCCTCAGTGTAAATTCTCAAATGTTGCACAAGTGTCCCATTCTTTAAGTGGATACTTTGTTATGCTCTATTTTATTGGAATGTTTGTGAGACTTCCAGTGTTGCACGCAAGCTATAAGCCAGTGATGACCTGTTGTTATTTACATTGCTTCAATCTATTCCCCAGACAGTGGCGTCTTAATTGGGGGGGGGGGGGAGGGGGGGGAGCCCAGGGTGACACCATTCTGTTATGTTCCTGCAGCAACATAACAGAATAATCCTTTGTTTCCATATAGCCTATTATATGACTACTGAGTATAACTTGGTCTTTATAGGGAAAATCATTGATTTTGATGATGTGATAGATGATTTTACAGAATTGAAGGCAAGGAAATGTAAGATCAGATTCACTGAGATGTTACCTGTACTCAAGGTCAAATGTAAGATCAGATTCACTGAGATGTTACCTGTACTCAAGGTCAAATCGGAACTAGTGTTTCTCTGATATTGTAATGTTTTTCTTTGTTTTTCAAGTTTTTTTTTTTTTTGCATTGTTGAAGATAAATGTAGGATTTGTTGGCTATACTCAAAGTGGTATTTGAGTTTGTGTTTCCTAAACATTACTACGATTATTTATTTTATCATTTATGAAGTTGAGACGTATTCTCCTGTTTGGTTTATGGCTAAATATTAGTCATTGGTCATGCAGTATTGACGTAACTGGAGTTAACTCCCCCCATCCCCCCGCCCTTGGATTTCATGGGAATGACACCAAAGATGTCGCTTCGGGTGACACCATCCCTACCAACGCCACTGTCCCCAGTGTGACCTTTCCTGGGTCACTGGACACTGCGCGGGTGACTCAGTAACTTTCCCATTTGCTATTATTGCCTTGTGTTATTTTGTCTTATTAACGTATTCCAAATAATGTAGTGGTAGTGTATTTTTGTGGCCGTACACTGCTTGGCTCAGTGTCAGTACGAGTGTACAAACTGCTGTACACTGCTTGGCTCAGTGTCAGTACGAGTGTACAAACTGCTGTACACTGCTTGGCTCAGTGTCAGTACGAGTGTACAAACTGCTGTACACTGCTTGGCTCAGTGTCAGTACGAGTGTACAAACTGCTGTACACTGCTTGGCTCAGTGTCAGTACGAGTGTACAAACTGCTGTACACTGCTTGGCTCAGTTCAGTATGAGTGTACAAACTGCTGTACACTGCTTGGCTCAGTGTCAGTACGAGTGTACAAACTGCTGTACACTGCTTGGCTCAGTGTCAGTACGAGTGTACAAACTGCTGTACACTGCTTGGCTCAGTGTCAGTACGAGTGTACAAACTGGCTGTACACTGCTTGGCTCAGTGTCAGTACGAGTGTACAAACTGCTGTACACTGCTTGGCTCAGTGTCAGTGTGAGTGTACAAACTGCTGTACACTGCTTGGCTCAGTGTCAGTACGAGTGTACAAACTGCTGTACACTGCTTGGCTCAGTGTCAGTACGAGTGTACAAACTGCTGTACACTGCTTGGCTCAGTGTCAGTGTGAGTGTACAAACTGCTGTACACTGCTTGGCTCAGTGTCAGTGTGAGTGTACAAACTGCTGTACACTGCTTGGCTCAGTGTCAGTACGAGTGTACAAACTGCTGTACACTGCTTGGCTCAGTGTCAGTACGAGTGTACAAACTGCTGTACACTGCTTGGCTCAGTGTCAGTGTGAGTGTACAAACTGCTGTACACTGCTTGGCTCAGTGTCAGTGTGAGTGTACAAACTGCTGTACACTGCTTGGCTCAGTGTCAGTACGAGTGTACAAACTGCTGTACACTGCTTGGCTCAGTGTCAGTACGAGTGTACAAACTGCTGTACACTGCTTGGCTCAGTGTCAGTACGAGTGTACAAACTGCTGTACACTGCTTGGCTCAGTGTCAGTATGAGTGTACAAACTGCTGTACACTGCTTGGCTCAGTGTCAGTGTGAGTGTACAAACTGCTGTACACTGCTTGGCTCAGTGTCAGTACGAGTGTGCAAACTGCTGTACACTGCTTGGCTCAGTTTCAGTACGAGTGTACAAACTGCTGTACACTGCTTGGCTCAGTGTCAGTATGAGTGTACAAACAGCTGTACACTGCTTGGCTCAGTGTCAGTGTGAGTGTACAAACTGCTGTACACTGCTTGGCTCAGTGTCAGTATGAGTGTACAAACTGCTGTACACTGCTTGGCTCAGTGTCAGTGTGAGTGTACAAACTGCTGTACACTGCTTGGCTCAGTGTCAGTACGAGTGTGCAAACTGCTGTACACTGCTTGGCTCAGTTTCAGTACGAGTGTACAAACTGCTGTACACTGCTTGGCTCAGTGTCAGTATGAGTGTACAAACAGCTGTACACTGCTTGGCTCAGTGTCAGTATGAGTGTACAAACAGCTGTACACTGCTTGGCTCAGTGTCAGTACGAGTGTACTGACACTGAGCCAGGCACTGTGCCACTGCCCCTCCAACTCCATTTCCATTGTCCACTACAAGTTTTCTACATAAATCTCCTTGCGGATAAATCCCTCTCAAGAGATAAATCTCCTTGCGGAGATTTATCGATCAATGGATCTCTGCATATAAATTATAATTATATTAATCTCTCTTAAGCTGACTTTGTGCCCATTATCTATCACTAATTATTACTGGTGTTTATGAAAAATGTAATTTAGCAGTAATTCCCTCAATATAATTCTATGAGGACATTAATGTTCCTATATGATCTTGTAGTTGCAATATTATTATTACTGTGAACGATTAAAACAGTGGTGAGTTATAATCTTATATTAATTATTTCTTTGCGTATACGTCGTTTATTTCGTTACATATATATATATATATATATATATATATATATATATATATATATATATATATATATATATAGTATAATGTATATTTATGTCGTGCCGAATAGGCAGAATTTGCGATCTTGGCTTAAATAGCAACGCTCATCTTGCCATATAGGACAAGTGAAAATTTGTGTATGCAATAATTTCGCCAAAATCATTCTGAACTTAAATTATTGTAAACAAATCTAAAATATATTTAGTTGGGTTAGGCTAAAATAAATAGTTCTTGTTATAATAAGGTTAGGTAAGTTTTCTAAGATTCGTTTGGAGCAAAATTAAAATTTTTAACATAACATTAATGAAAAAATATATCTTTAAACGTATAAAAGAAAATTTTAGAAAGGACTTAATTTTAAATGAGTTCTTGCTAATTGACCAGTTTTACATATTCGGCACGACATATTATATATATATATATATATATATATATATATATATATATATATATATATATATATATATATATATATATATATATATATATATATATGTAATAGGTAAAACTTGTCAATTAAGTCCTTTTAAAATTTTTCTCTTATACGTTTAAAGATATATATTTTTTTATTTATGTTGATGTAAAAATTAATAATTTGGTACCAAGAGAACCTTAGGAAACTTAACCTTATTATAACAATCGGAATTAAATTTAGCCTAATCTAACTAAATATATTTTGAATAAGTTTACAATTTAATAATAACCAAACACAATGAAATATATTTATTTTTGTTAGGTTCAGAATGATTTTTGCGAAATTATTGCAAGCACAAATTTTCGTTTGCTTTACTAGGCAAGAAGAGCGTTGCTTAAGCCAAAATCGCGCGCACAGTAGTACTGAATCAATAACAACACTGCAACTAGCCAAGGATTCGAACCCGTGTAGTTTTGGCCCGCCTCGTGGAGAGCGAATATCACACATGACACTCTAACCCAATGGACAACGCAATCCTACAAGAACCAAGCACCCAGCAGAGCTAGGTGTTTTACCTTGATCCGAAGACATACAGTGGTATAGGTACACCAAACGGGGAGTAGAAAGAAATTAACTCAAAGGCATCCACACCACCGTATGTCCTCGGATCAAGGTAGAACACCTAGCTCTGCTGAGTGCTTGGTTGCTGTAGGATTGCGTTGTCCATTGGGTTAGAGTGTCATGTGTGATTTTTCGCTCACCATGAGGCGGGCCAAAACGAAATTATATTTTATTCAGATGGAGCCCAGTAGGGTATCAAGACTCACCAATAATACTGAGATTGGTAGTGAAGGTAAGAGTAGGGTTGACTCTGAAGTCAACCCTACAACGATAGGTTCCCTCATCGTCTTCCTCGACCCTCTGTAATGTAAGGCTGGCTGTGGTGGGATGGAAGGTAGCTCGTTGACCCAAGTGGCTGGGATTCTTCCAGTGGGAGGCTGGACCTCTCCTCACGTCAAAACTGCAGTAGATACAACATAGCGTTTAAAAACAGCATTGATAGAAGAATGACAGAGAAGGACCTGCCTAGCCCTGGTCAGTAAGACGTAACAGTGCTGCAACGCTTGTGTTATCACAACAATAAACGATTATTATGAAAAAGGTTAGTTTGTTAGGTTAAAATGCTTCCGACATTACGATTCTGTTAAGGTCTTAAGGCAGTTCCCTTGTACTTCAGTAATCAAGAATATTTAAATGCATTACAAAATAAACTACCTTTCAATGTATATACGTTGAGATATACAGTGCTAGTCACGGCATTATGCCGGGGCGCTCACCGGCATAATGCCGTGACTAGTAATGCATGTGCCTCAATCTACGCACCCTATGACTTAAATAATTAAAGTAATAATAAAATTAATAATAATATAATTTAAAATTATAAATATTAATTGTCGCATTTAAATACAGATACTGAAATAATAATCAGAATATTTAAGCAATAATAACTCGTTTAACAGATTATACTTTCAACCCAATTAAACATCCATTGTGTTAAACTTTCATATATTGATGAATATATCATTCTTGACTTGAGTGAACAAAGAGCAACATTGCATGAACTCTTTGTGGGGTGTATATAACAGTATTTATACTCTTGGAGTCTAAAATCCAAACATTTCCAAACGAGGAATGCTTAATGGTCCTATGTTGAGTAAACAGGCGACAAACCCACTTAACTAACCAATTTGTAGTTGGCATATTTCCCCCAGGAGACTACAAATTTCACGCTTCAGTATAGTGTTCATTACTAACGTAAATGTGTAGCAACTGCAGTGAGATTATGATTAGAAATTATTCATTAATATGGAACATTCATCCCGAAGATTAAACAGCATATTAAGCGCCCCAGAAATTACGATACATTATGACAGTGGTTATGAACGAGGAATAATGAGTCCTCGGAGGGTACTTGAAACCTCTTCAGGGGATACATGACCCCTTTAGGGGTTCCGGAGGTGTTATCAGGGATACATATATCCCAAGTGTATATATATATGAACCTCATCCGCTGGTACTTGTCTCTCTGGGGTTATATTAGTAGAAGAGTAAGGGAGGATTAGTGTTTGCTTTATATTTTACCTATTCGGAACGAAATTATATATATATTATAAATTATATATATATATATATATATATATATATATATATATATATATATATATATATATATATATTATCTCCTTTTACATTTAGTAATATATACAGGAAAAGGAATTACTAGCCCCTTGCTCCCGGCATTTTAGTCACCTCTTACAACACACATGGCTTACGGAGGAAGGATTCTGTTCCACTTCCCCATGGAGATAAGAGGAAATAAACAAGAACAAGAACTAGAAAGAAAATAAAAGAAAACCCAGAGGGGTGTGTGTATATATACATATATATGCTTGTACATGTATGTGTAGTGTGACCTAAGTGTAAGTAGAAGTAGCAAGACATACCTGAAATCTTGCATGTTCATGAAACAGACAAAAGACATTAACAATCCTACCATCATGTAAAACAATTACAGGCTTTCGTTTTTCACTCACTTGGCAGGACGGTAGTACCTCCCTGGGCGGTTGCTGTCTACCAACATACTACCTAGAATATATATATATATATAATATATATATATATATATATATATATATATATATATATATATATATTAATATATATATATATGTGTGTGTGTGTGTGTGTGTGTGTGTGTAAATGTTAAGGAAGAAACAGAGGCAGTAATTTCATGCACTGGTCAGGGAGGTATACCATCTTTTAGAGTGAAGAAGAGCAGAATGTAAGTGTGGGGGAGGTACGTGAGGCATTACGTAAAATGAAAGGGGGTAAACAGCTGGAACTGATGGGATCATGACAGAAATGTTAAAAGCAGGGGGGGATATAGTGTTGGAGTGGTTGGTACTTTTGTTTAATAAATGTATGAAAGAGGGAAGGTACCTAGGGATTGGCGGAGAGGCATGTATAGTCCCTTTATATAAAGGGAAAGGGGACAAAAGAGACTGTAAAAATTATAGAGGAATAAGTTTACTGAGTATACCAGGAAAGGTGTATGGTAGGGTTATAACTGAAAGAATTAGAGGTAAGACAGAATGTAGGATTGCGGATGAGCACGGAGGTTTCAGAGTGGGTAAGGGATGTGTAGATCAAGTGTTTACATTGAAGCATATATGTGAACAGTATTTAGATAAAAGTAGGGAAGTTTTTATTGCATTATGGGATTTAGAAAAGGCATATGATAGAGTGGATAGAGGAGCAATGTGGCAGATGTTTGCAAGTATATGGAATAGGTGGTAAGTTATTAAATGCTGTAAAGAGTTTTTATGAGGATAGTGAGGCTCAGGTTAGGGTGTGTAGAAGAGAGGGAGACTACTTCCCGGAAAAAGTAGGTCTTAGACAGGGATGTGTAATGTCACGATGGTTGTTTAATATATTTATAGATGGGGTTGTAAAGGAAGTAAATTCTAGGGTGTTCGGAGAGGGGTGGGATTAAATTATGGGGAATCAAATTCAAAATGGGAATTGACACAGTTACTTTTTGCTGATGATACTGTGCTTATGGGAGACTCTAAAGAAAAATTGCAAAGGTTAGTGGATGAGTTTGGGAATGTGTGTAAAGGTAGAAAGTTGAAAGTGAAAATAGAAAAGAGTAAGGTGATGAGGGTTGTCAAATGATTTAGATAAAGAAAAATTGGATATCAAATTGGGGAGGAGGAGTATGGAAGAAGTGAATGTTTTCAGATACTTGGGAGTTGACGTGTCGGCGGATGGGTTTATGAAGGATGAGGTTAATCATAGAATTGATGAGGGAAGAAAGGTGAGTGGTGCGTTGAGGTATATGTGGAGTCAAAAAAAACGTTATCTATGGAGGCAAAGAAGGGAATGTATGAAAGTATAGTAGTACCAACACTCTTTTATGGGTGTGAAGCTTGGGTGGTAAATGCAGCAGCGAGGAGACGGTTGGAGGCAGTGGAGATGTCCTGTTTAAGGGCATGTGTGGTGTAAATATTATGCAGAAAATTCGGAGTGTGGAAATTAGGAAAAGGTGTGGAGTTAATAAAAGTATTAGTCAGAGGGCAGAAGAGGGGTTGTTGAGGTGGTTTGGTCATTTAGAGAGAATGGATCAAAGTAGAATGACATGGAAAGCATATAAATCTATAGGGGAAGGAAGGCGGGGTAGGGTTCGTCCTCGAAAGGGTTGGAGAGAGGGGGTAGAAGGAGGTTTTGTGGGCAAGGGGCTTGGACTTCCAGCAAGCGTGCGTGAGCGTGTTAGATAGGAGTGAATGGAGACGAATGGTACTTGGGACCTGACGATCTGTTGGAGTGTGAGCAGGGTAATATTTAGTGAAGGGAATTCAGGGAAACCGGTTATTTTCATATTGTCGGACTTGAGTCCTGGAAATGGGAAGTACAATGCTGACACTTTAAAGGAGGGGTTTGGGATATTGGCAGTTTGGAGGGATATGTTGTGTGTCTTTTATGTGTATGCTTCTAGAACTGTTGTATTCTGAGCACCTCTGCAAAAACAGTGATAATGTGCGAGTGTGGTGAAAGTGTTGAATGATGATGAAAGTATTTTCTTTTGGGGATTTTCTTTCTTTTTTGGGTCACCCTGCCTCGGTGGGAGACGGCCGACTTGTTGAAAAATATACATATTATATATATATATATATATATATATATATTTATATATATATATATATATATATATATATATATTTTATATATATATATATGTGTGTGTGTGTGTGTGTATCATGCTGTTAATAAAATTCTTATATTTTATGGCTGATGAATTTAATTTAGTATGAAAGATTATTGAGGTATCAGTCATGTGAAACTCTGGTAAAAGTTGTTCATGTGGTACAGTTCATGAATATCCATTACTGCATTTGAGATTTTTTTGTTTATTATTTCCTAGCTCCCGGCCCTTGAAGCTGTGACGCTTTGCTAGAAAAAGTTTTAGTTATATTTTAGCTTCGACATTTCATATTTAGGGTCGATCAAGAATTTCTTAAGTCTTTCTTCTGTCACTGTTATATACATCAGTTTCGTGCGCACTGCAGTTTTCACTCTACTGGATCTCCCTCCATCTAGGTGGTAATGGATGAATACTGTGTGTTCTACGTCACAGGTGTCATGGTTGACAGCCACTCACTGTAGCACAGTCAGTGAACGTTCTCTGTCGGTAAAATTTCAGAAATGCTTCGACTCAACTTTCAGCAAACACTGTTGTTGCTCCTCGTCTCTAGACAGGCTGCCGTTGTTCTGTTGTACCTGGGTCGCAGCTCCTTAGCTAAGATATTCACCACCCTAAGATTCCCGGTACGGGTTTGAAACATTAGGACGTGTTTCCTGAAGATTCCTGCTGTCCATGTTCACCTGTCAGTGAAATAGATACCTGGGTGCTAGCCGACTGGTGTGGGTCGCATCCTGGGGACAAAACTGACCTAACTTGCCCGAAATGTTCTGCATAACAAGCGGCTTTCTGTATAGTAGTATGTTATTGATATCGGGTAGGTCTGTTTACCTTGTACTTGTAGAAATAAAGATTATTATTATTACTCTTATTATTACAAAATAACTTCCTGAGCCAACTCATTTTCGGTCATTAATGTAAATGTTTGCTCAAGAAACCTGCAGATAATTGCAGTCGTTCATAAATCCTTCTGGAATTGCTCATCACATGGTTCTCCAAAGTAGAACAAGAGGTTGATAGAATTTGTAATTTGCTCTCGACTTTGTTTCTCGTGTAAGTCTGTTATCATATATTTTATTGTAGCTGGAACATCAGCATCGAAGAAAGCCAAACATTTCTTCAGAGAGGTATCATGGGTGTCCTGCCAGCGGCTGACTCGCCACTTTTCCTATCTTCTGTTTCGGGTGGGAGCTTATAGACGTCAAGTGGCGATGGTCCTGGGCTGAAGTGACAGCAAATATCGGAACAGTGAATTATACCTTCAGGTAGACTTTGACAGCAGTGATGCTTATGATTTGCAAACATGTTCTCTTTTTTGTAGTGAAATGTTGCCGGCCCCAGATCCTGATAAGACACGGGATAGTGGTTCCGCAGCGACCGTGAAACAACAGCGAAATAAATTCTTTTATAATCAGTTTAGTCTGCTTCGCTGTAAGATTTGGTCCTTGGTAAGGAACGTATCATTAGTGGAGTCGTTGACGCCTGTTTGGATCTTGTCTTCTCGATGCTTTTAAACTGTTTCTTTGTATGAGTGCAACCCATTCTAAATATTACACACTAATCTTAGTATATGAGAGTACCTAACATATTCTTGCAGTGCGCAACACATTCCTCGCACGAAAGAGTGAACTACACATTCTTGCCGTAAGAATGTACAGCCCATTTAAGGAATGAGAGAGTGCAGAAGACATTCTTCGCTTGTGAGTCTGCATAACATATTCTTGGTATGAGTTCATAGAATACTCTTGAAATATGAAAGCGTACATCATATTACTTGTTAGCATAAAACCTAGTATTGTACCATAAATGATAAACGTACAGATTTCAAGGCGTTTTACTGCATCATTGTAATAAAAATATGTCAACTTCCATTAATTTGATAGTTATATGTAAAACTAATTTGTGTGTTTAAAAATAAGGAGTATCATAACTAAGACTAACTTAACCTAACTTGGTCAACGTTACTTTATGCTGTGTTATTTAAGCTAGACGAGCGTTGCTAACCAAACTGTAATTGAAGAAAATATTGGATTTTTTAGGAAAAATATTAGTCAAAAAACGGTGGTGATAATAGTTTCACTCACCTGTAAATAGGTTTGTCGATACCGTTCTTGTACCAGAGTACCAGGAGTGCAGGGTCAGCCGGCAGAGGAGATGTCATGTTGCAGGGTAGGTTGGCAGAGCCGTCCATCCCCGCCCACACCTCCCGTGTTGGACCTGACACACAAGAAGTGCTTGGTTAATAACTTAAATTTTCAGTGGTTGGTCTTAGGTAAGATGTTTAACAAGATCGTCACCACTCACCAGCACCACCACTCACCAGCACCACCACTCACCAGCACCACCACTCACCAGCACCACCACTCACCAGCACCACCACTCACCAGCACCACCACTCACCAGCACCGCCACTCACCAGCACCGCCACTCACCAGCACCGCCACTCACCAGCACCGCCACTCACCAGCACCGCCACTCACCAGCACCACCACTCACCAGCACCACCACTCACCAGCACACCACTCACCAGCACCACCACTCACCAGCACCACTCACCAGCACAACCACTCACTAGCACCACCACTCACCAGCACCACCACTCACTAGCACCACCACTCACTAGCACTACCACTCACCAGTACCACCACTCACCAGCACCACCATCACCGGCACCACCACTCACTAGCACCACCACTCACTAGCACCACCACTCACTGGCACCACCACTCACTGCACCACCACTCACTGGCACCACCACTCACTGGCACACCACCACTCACCAGCACCACCACTCACCGGCACCACCACTCACCAGCACCACCACTCACCAGCACCACCACTCACCAGCACCACCACTCACCAGCACCACCACTCACTAGCACTACCACTCACCAGCACCACCACTCACCAGCACCACCACTCACAGCACCACCACTCACCAGCACCACCACTCAACAGCACCACCACTCACCAGCACCACCACTCACCAGCACCACCACTCACCAGCGCCACCACTCACCAGTGCCATCCACTCACCAGCACCACCACTCACTGGCACCACCACTCACTGGCACCACCACTCACTGGCACCACCACTCACTAGCACCACCACTCACCAGCACCACCACTCACCAGCACCACCACTCACCAGCATCACCACTCACTAGCACTACCACTCACCAGCACCACCACTCACGAGCACCACCACTCACCAGCACCACCACTCACCAGCACCACCACTCACCAGCATCACCACTCACCACACCACCACTCACCAAGCACTCACGCCTACTCACCAGCACCACTACTCACACGCACCACTCACCGGCACCCTTCACCACAAACACCACTCACCAGGACCACTCAGCAGCACCACCACTCACCAGCACCACCACTCACCAGCACCACCACTCACCAGCCACCACCACTCACCACCACCATTCACCAGCACCACCACTCGCCACCACAACATTCACCAGCATATATACCAGCACCACTCACCTTCATTAACAAGCATATATACAAGCACCACCTCTCACCAGCACCACTCACTACCACCATCCAGAGCACATACAACCATCGCTCACCAACAAACATCACAGAAGACATCAATTCAGACATCCTGTTCATTTACATCCCTAACATCCTTAACCATAATTCACTAATAAGCGATACACATCTGGTCAAAAAATAAAAAAAAAATAATGTAAACGAGAAAATATTGTGAAATTCAAATATTTTCTTGAGTTCCCGTTGAAGGTTAAAAAGTTTAACTTACGTTCTTGAATGTGTGTTAGCAGGGTAAAAATAGAGAAAATAGAGAAAAATTTATTTTCCCCGACACACTCATGTCTCCCACACAACTCCTCCACTACTGTGGAAATATCCCACCACTCATGTCTCCCTCACAACTCCTCCCCTACTGTGGAAATATCCCACCACACTCATGTCTCCCACACAACTCCTCCACTACTGTGGAAATATCCCACCACACTCATGTCTCCCACACAACTCCTCCACTACTGTGGAAATATCCCACCACACTCATGTCTCCCACACAACTCCTCCACTACTGTGGAAATATCCCACCACACTCATGTCTCCCTCACAACTCCTCCACTACTGTGGAAATATCCCACCACACTCATGTCTCCCACACAACTCCTCCACTACTGTGGAAATATCCCACCACACTCATGTCTCCCACACAACTCCTCCACTACTGTGGAAATATCCCACCACACTCATGTCTCCCACACAACTCCTCCACTACTGTGGAAATATCCCACCACACTCATGTCTCCCACACAACTCCTCCACTACTGTGGAAATATCCAGTGAGCAGACTTCCCATTCTTGCTCATTAATACAAAATTAATAAATAACAAAAAGGCACAATACCGTGACTGGAACGATACACAAATAACCCGCACATAAAAGACAGAAGCTTACGACGACGTTTCGGTCCGACTTGGACCATTGACTTTTAATTAGAAGACAACTTGCTGCACTTGTGTTTACTAAGACAATTCAATCTATGTATAGTTCTAGATGGCTCCAACTACTGTCTCGCTGAGAGCTTCTTCAGCAACTTGTGTATGTGTTTTTGTACGTGATAGCAATATCCGTTATCCTGGATATCCACTCACATCTTCGATATTATCTTGCAAATCCAAGAAAATTGCATTCATGTTACGTTTTTATGTCGTATTCTGTTTCTCTGAATAACAGATATAGCAAACAGATTCCTATTCCTTCCACCTAGGAGGTACTGATTAGAAAATGAGGGGACCGGAGTAGGGAAATGGATACAGCTCTCACGGAAATGGTCAGAATTATAACGTATATGAGACGAAGGGCTAGGGAAATGGAGGCTACCCTCTAGTACACCTCGTTTCTGTGTCTCATTCTTCCCTCTCCCTCTGCCAGAATCGTTTTACAAAAGGAATGATTAAACAGTTGTACCAGTAAAGCGGATACATTCCCCAAACTGTACACTGGTATCGATGGTTACAACACCGGACAATGAAGGTATAATGCCAGGCAGATACTGGGGTAAAGACACAGTGTGTAGAGCAAGATTTTATTATCATTGTTTCTCTCTGGGTAGAACTTGATCAAGATGTGGGGGAGTATTTGAGTCCTAGTATGTTAGAATATTTTAGAGATAGGGTAGTAACCGTCTTCCCTTGTATAGAATATTTACCGGACCGTTATTCCCCTCGATGCCAAGTAGGAGGAGGAGGAGGGTTAACGACTTATTTTTCTTACCTAGAGAAGTGAGCTTCGCTCCAGTAGCGTACCATGTGTCAGTGAAAATACGAGAAAATGAGACCAATTTGTTATAACAACATCTCGTGACTTCCATTAGTTTTACGAACGCCATGGTGACACATTCTGAAATATCTCGAGTGATTAACGCTCTCCTCTGCCAATCATTCTGCAACATTGCCCCAGATCTCGCCGAAGTTTAAGCCAGGCTGTGTTTTTGTAGGTCTGGTGGCATCAGTCTCCGGTTTCACACCAAATTATACAGATCATAATGTGTGTCTTACTTGACGTGAGCACCAGGGAACTGGATCAGTGGTCACTGGTGCTTCTAACATGACATGCACCTCAAACATCAGTTCAGTGGCGTGCGAGAGAGTACTGGGGAGGGGGGGGATTTAAGTCAGTGGATTTCCTGAACTTAAGCTGAAATACATATTCTTAGAAATGGGCTTAATTTCGAGGACTAAGCGAGTGTCAGCTACAATGATTTCATGATATATGAATACTGTAAAAAAAAAAACTCATCATTATGTAAGCTGAATATCTGACATCACAAATCTGAGACACCAAGTCTCCAGGTAAACAAAGACCAGGGGAGCATGCAAGTCCAATTTTCTCCACCTGTTGCTCCTGTAGGGTGCAATAGGTAATCGTCTGCAAGTTAGGTAGGGACTTTATTTGAAGTTTAGTGGTGTTGGTAAGAGGCTAGTGGCAGTCGGTTCCACAACTTGCCAAGTATCACCTCAATTCATTGTGTCTTTACCCTCACGTCTGTCCAAGCTTCATTCAGCAACCAGCAAAACTGGACCGTCCAGTCTGATAATTAACTAGGAACCAGGTATTAACAAGGACATCATACCAGTAAGTGTAACTCAAAGTTTTGACATCCTGCTGTGGAGGAAGTGTTCACCATTTCTTTGATGGTATAAAAGGCATAAAACATTATATCCCTCTTTTACAACTGGAAGAGTAATATAAAAAATATTTCGTACTGTAAATTTAAAACACCAAGCTTATAAAAAAAAAAATTAAATAAAATATACATGAATGTAAAGCATTATGACAGTTGCTTCACAAGTGGATATTTACGATGCTTTCTCAAAAATGTAGTTGTAGTCGTTGTTAAGCTAGTAGTAGCAATAGTTGAAGTAGATGAAATATTTGTATTAGCAATATTTGTACTTGAAATGTTAGAAGTGCAATTGTTGTAGTTATAATAGTAGCAATGGTTGGAGTAAGTGTGGAATTAATAGTAGCATTTGCTCGTCAGACTTGGTGATTATCATCGACAAAACTAAGAGTTAGACACGCACGTATTTATCAAGACATTTACCGAGGATACGTTCGTCCAGCATTGACTACTTGAGTCCAGTACCAACAACAAGAGACAATGAGTTTATTTAGTGGCAGTCAGTCTCACCTGTCATCTGCCATTATAAAAATTGACTATTTTTCTTGTTCTGAGGAAGCCTCTGGTAAGCGAAACAGCCTCAGTAAATGTCTTGTATGTGTGTCTTTCTCACAGCAGCATTATTTACAGCATAAATAGTGGTGGTTGCAGCTATTACAGTAGCTGTAGTCTTACTAGTAGTAGAAGCAGTAATTGCTGTAGTTATAGTTATTAACAGCAGTAGTAGTTGTCGTAGTTATTAGTAGCAGTAGTAGTTGTGGTAGTTATAGCATTAGCAGCAGTAGTAATTGTGGTAATTATAGTATTAGCAGCAGTAATGTGGTAGTTATAGTATTCGTAGCAGGAGTAGCAGGAACAGTAGTTATAGAATTAATATTAACAGTAGCTTCAGTAGCTGTTATAGCTGGTGAATTTTGAGTAGCAATAGTTGCAGTAGTCGTAGTATAAATTACAGCAGTAGTAGTAATAGCAAACAGCAGAAAGAAACCATCATTAAAAATAAGGGCTTGAGTTTGCGGTCCTGATAAAG